AGACACTCAACATGCCGAATTTTCGAGAAAAGGCTCGCGTTAATGTTGAAGGAGATCGTTCAATGGCGTATGGTCCAGTCTGTTTTATAAACGAAAAGCTCTATGCTGTCCTTGGTCCTGTTGACATTATTGAGATTTTGTCGAAGAACCAAGAAGGATCTATTTCTATTGCAGGAATTAAGAATGACGGATGGACTATTTTGTCTGTCTACATTTCTTCCAATTGCGATTTTAGTCATACCATTGCTAAATTAGAGAACTGTCTTAACAATTCAAAAGGCAAAGTAATTTTAGCTGGAGATTTCAACATTGACTTTAATAACAAATCTACAAAAAAAATTCTTTCGAAGATATGCTAGAGAAATATTCTTTAATTTCCACTTGCCAAAAACATTTAGTACTACAAAAAGCGGTACATATATCGATAACATATTCACAAATATCAAAATTCAAGAAAGTGGAAGATACATTTCCTTCACTTCTTATCATGATCCACTTTATGTAAAATTTTAATAAACACTTGATCACACATGAATGGTGCCGCTGATTTAAAAACGCCCCGACAGAGACTCTTGTCTTTAGATCGCCTGATGTTATTTGATTGAAACTGTTCTCTGTTAAATATAGGATATTACAAACCGTGCTAATGGTACCAATTCGCGCGTTTTAAATAATATTTGCGCACTTTTAAATCTCAATTTCCGTCAATTTAATTGGCCAATTCGCGCATTTCTTAAAATCGATTTGGGTGATTCTGGATTTCATTTCGCATTTTTAAAAAATAATATTTGCGCAGTATCTTTTTTAAAAACATTTAACATCTATTCAATCACTGGAAAAATTGTGTTTGAAAATGGTCAGGGGGACATTGTTGAAGAGAACGGAAATGGTCCATGGATTGGGAAGAAGATGTCAATTCTTATAGCACAGAAACTATGAGTAACTTTACGCAGTTTTTTGAATAGCAGGCAACAGATTTCGAAATAGCATGTGGTGATCTACTATACAGTAGTCGCTCGATTTAAGGGTGACCAACAATTTCGGAAATCTCACCCTTAAATAGAAAATACCCCTAAATCGAAAAGCGTGGCTATTTTAAACAGAAGTCACTACGCCATTTTTAACCGTGAAATATGATCATTACTGCGAAATATTTATTTTTATTCGGACATTCAATAAATTTGATCAAAAAGTTAGAAAAAAGTCAAAAATACACTGTCAAATCGTTCGATTTTAGGGTATGGGGAATTGGAATCTCACCCTCAAATAGAATACTGGTTTAGTGGTGTTAATGCGGGGGACGGAAGCTGTTTTTCCAAAATCCACCCTTAAATGGAAAATACCCTTAAATCGAACACCATTAAATCGAGCGACTACTGTATTATTGCTACATTAAATAAATCCATACCTATGACATCAATACATTAGAGAGCTTTGGGGAGCCAAATTTCAATTCAATTTTTTTCTGAAAAGAGGAGAAACCTTAGTTTTCAGTTCCGATGTAGCACAAAGCAATTGATGGGAAACAGGGAGGAAATAAATCGAAATAAATGTTACGCCTTTTTCTGTTAGTTCTTTTCAAAGAATCATATTGGTTTATTTTTGTGATTTTTACGAAATATCGTCATGATGATTTCCAATAAAGCTATTGCAGTCTCTTATTTTTAAACGCTATCTTTTGTCTACTTTCAAAAATAATAAACCTATTTCATATATTTCAAATGACTAAAAACAACGACACCTCCAAAAACTCCCCACCTAAAAAACACTACGGAGAATTGACAGAACGAAGAGTTATTGCTCTTGTCGATGCCATAATTGCATATCGTCCGTATGATAGAAAGAACCTTGAAGTGTCAGAAGCAAAAAAAAACGTTATGAAAAACGTTAACGATATAGATAGAAATGCAGCAACAATATATAGTTGGAATACCTTTCAATTGAAGATCAACAATTTGATCAAAGAAGTTACCAAAACGCAATTGTATGACACTACGTATGGCACTGGAAGTAACGATTCTGAGACTTACCTAGAGCACAGGGTAATGGAATTAAAACTGAAAGTAAGCAACCAATTTAAAATATATGACATCATTTGTTAATATGTTACTTCGATGGAAGAGAGTAAGCAGTTGACAAGTAAGACGAAGGAGGCCGAAACCAATGCTCTTTTAAAAAACAAATAGCCCAAGAAGCTTGGGTAGCAGCTTCAAAGAAGGGCAAACATGATGTAGGTCAGCAAACCAACACGAAGCAGCTGGAATTTCATCTCTTGAAAAAAATGAATGTGATGAGGACGCCATTAAGGATAAACAGGCAGCTTGTGTAAATCCCGTTCCTGGATTGAACAGAGGCATTAAACGCTCAATTGAGAACCTGGAACAGGACAGCTTACAAGAAAAAGATGCCATAATAAAATGAGTCTTAAAATTGATATAATTGAAGACATGATGAAGACTGTTATCAAAAAACAGGACGACAATGAGAAACTATTACACCAAGCCCTCAAAGGTCCCGTCCATCAACACCCCTATCTTCCTCCTTCAATTGCACCTGTCCAAGTTCCAAAGCAAGACAATATAAAAAAGCAACAATAAACACTAGTTTACTATGGCCTTATTTCATCAATATATTCCTCTAATGTTGGCGGTTCTATTCCAAAATATTTACTCGTTTGATTACCTCCATTGTCACAGATGTGAACATTTTTCATGAGCGTGGCAACTTCCTAAAAAAGACCACATCTGCTATGGAGTATCTTCTGTTCTGGCTTGTATCTAACAGAAGATAACAAATTTGTAACATGGCCAAACTCCCATTCTACTGCGATTCTTACAGCTTTCAATGAATCATTTACATCATTTTCTGCAGCAGTCATTTGGGTGCCTAATATTTGCAGTTAACTATGATACGTAATTGTATTTTGAAACCGACAGTAAACTATTACCTGTTCTGAATGGCTTTACCAATCATCTATCTTCTCTATATGCAGGATCTCCGTATATTGCGTATATCCTTTCTTCAATGTGAGAAAAATCAAGGCATTGACGAAGATCAACGATTACTTCACTTGTGTCAAGCATGTTTTGGTCATGAATAGCTCCAGCAAAGGGGCCTGCTAGACTGATCATAATACCATCAGGCGTAACAATACTTTGGTATTTTAAACCAAGACAGCCACCCTAAAATAAATCAGCAATCAAAATGTTTTTTTTGATCGCTGATCGCAAAGCCAAATTTTCAAATCTCTATAAAAACAACCTACACATAAATAAAAAGATGTAGCAATACCATGTTAATAGATAAACGTAATTTTTTAAAGAAAAAAAATGTTTATGGGGATGATAGCCAGGGTAAGAAAAAGACAACTTCAGATTACGTAAGTAAAATGAGAAAAGGGGACATGTGACTGTGGGTTTTAATGATTTTCCAACACTGCTGGTAATACTACTCTTATCGACTTTGAAAGCCTTACCAGTTTTTATTACATATTTGTTGTTAGACCTGTCGACCCCATTCACCAGCCCAATAGTAGACACAAGGTCCTTTGCATCAAAGACGACAATTTTTTTTTGCTCTGCCTCATCATGCGCGGGATGGCCTTTGAATAAGGGGAAACGTCATGATTCTTTGTAAGTTCACCAAAAACGAAGGTCGAGCCTGGAGTACTTTCTTGATATGTAAAGTCAAAAAAGAACAAGCATTTACACACGTACCAGTTTTCAACAGGCCGAGACATCCAAATTACTTTAAGTGAGCACACATGAATTTAGATTTGCAAAAAAAAAAAAAAAAAAAAAAAAAAAAAAAAAATAAAATCGTGTGGACGTTGAGGCTTTTTTTTTATATATCTGTAATACGGGCTTTTAACTTAACACATGTTTTTTTTTATTCTCTCCTTACATGTAATCGAGGATTTTATTAAGCGTTTTCGGTGAACGGATACCGAATTTAATGACGGTTGTGCTCATCATGTAAAGCGCAGATATGGAAAAAAGTATGGAATTTTATTGAGGATCAGAACTTGTATTAAGATTTTTATTGAATTGAGGTAAAAAAAAAAGAGATTTGAATAAATTTAAAAATTGGTTTTGGACTTTTGATTTCTGATAATTTCAACGGCATCATTGTCAGCCCCGAATTTTCTTTTTATCGACAGAGGTGTTTCGGCGCCAAAAAAATAGAGGTCTTCCGACTTTCTAACTCTAGACATGGCCACGTATAATTGTCCATGGGACATCATGTTGTCCAAATGAATTCCAACACAGTCGATTGTTGCGCTTTGAGACTTGTGGATGGTCGATGCAAAGGCTGGGACAATTGGGAATTGGGTCCTTGTGTAGCTGGTATTAGGAATTTGACGGCTGATTCTTTGGATCCAATAAATGGAATCACCACCATCGGGAAGTCGTTTTCTCAAGCATATATTTTCTTCTTCCATATATTCTACTGCTGCGATTGTACCATTGACCCATCCTTGAGAGACATTCAAGTTATGAACCAGCATAACAGGCATGTTATCTTTTAGCATCAAGGTCTCCAAAAGTCTTGTTTCCCTCAACGATATTTTGGCAGTTCTCTTGTTACCAACATACGAGTCACGGGCCTCCAGTTCCATACCCTCACCAGGAAAGTCCTTGTAATCCTTGTCGTTGGCCAAGCGCACTCGTTCTCTTGTGGTGTAGAGGCGTAGGCAGTACAGCGGAAGATCGACTTTTTGAATTGTCCTTTTGTTGATAAATTCAATAACGGTTTCATCAAAATTGTAATTTCTAACTTTTTCCAAAATTTCAACAAAAGCGGTTTCTTTTTGTCTGACAGGTTCGATAAGGTTGTATCTGTTGGACGTTGTATATATTTCAGATTCCCAAATGAGACCCTCCATTTTCTGTACGGGGAGCAACTGAGCGATGTCGCCGAAAAAGACAGTCTTGATACCACCCATGCTACTTGAACGTTGTGTTGTCTTGCTCAATGCTTCACTGATCGACTCCAGAAGTTTTGAGCTAACCATCGAATATTCATCAATAAGAAGAAGTAACTTTGGGTAAAGTTTGATGTATTCGTCTAACTTGAGGTAATTCGGAACAGAGGAGCGATTTGTAATACCAAAGAAACGATGCAAAGTCTCACCAGAAATGTTGTGGGCAGCTACGCCGGTGGGAGCAAGCTTGAAAACCTTTAAAAAAAATTAGATATTTGCAGATCATGTTTATTCAGTATTTACTTACTTTGTATCCCTTGAGCTTGTAGTGCCTTTCTAACATCCGTAAAACATATGATTTTCCTGTACCTGCGGCACCAGAGACGAAAACAGTAGAGTTGTTTCTGAGCTCATATATTGTTTGTTTGTAAACACTCCTTTGGCTTCTGTTTGCACTTTTGAGCATGGTGATCAACTCTTCGCGACAAGCATCCATGCCTCTTTCAGCGTCTACTACATCATTTACCGATTGGATATTCATTCTTCTGTGCACTTCAATGCCACCCTCTTCAAGATTGATCAAGTTCTCATAATAGTCTTCAAATTAAGATATTCTTATTAATAACAATACGTTTATGAAATATGTATAAAGATATATTACCTTTCCATGATCTAATTCGGCCTTTTTCATTCTCGAAAGTTGTACTGAAGATCGGCTTTTTTGTCACAATTTGTTGGTAGTAAAAACTCTCGCCATTCATCTCGCTTTGACTAAAGGTACGCCAAGAGAAAGGCTTGTCCGTGATCAGTTGGTATAAATCCTGCTCACTAAAAACAAAATTCGCCAAAGGACCAGAATGGAAGCCTCGCATTACATTGTAGATGATAGGATTCAAATTCTTGCCGTACTTTCGTTTATAGAAGCAGAAGAATTGTGGCAAAGTCAAATCAGGCGCACCTTCACGCTTCTCATAAATATCTATTTTTCAAATCGTTAGTGTCGGTATTTCATTTTTTTATATCATCATTGCTTTTAGCGCATTACCAACATGAGTTCTTGCGAAAATGTCATCGGAACTACTATCGATATCCTTGACGTCATCACGTAACCTTTTGCTATCTTGACCAAGCAAGCTGGTGTTGATAAATATGACGTTTCGAGAATTGCTGTGCTTTCTCCATCCCAAGACATCGTATGTTGCTTCAACTGCACCAACAATTCTCGTCGCATAATGCTCCTTCTCAGACACATATGAAGTTCTCTTGTAGTACCCCTGGTTTTGTTGTTGGATGTTTTTTAAAAGGATCTTCGCTTCGTAATCATCCTTTGCAAGATACTTTGCCAGATACCGCACTGCTTGGGGTCCATCGTTATATTGAATATCCATGCTGGTACGGAAAACTGCCAAAAGATAGGGGTTGTAATTATTCACGTAAGCATCACCAACATCCCTTTTGTAAACGCAACGATGTTCAGTATCAAGAGCCGTAACGGGAGAGAATGGCTTCGGGTATCCAAATCTACATTTCTTTGTGGGATCACCTCGTTTGCAATAACTTTTGGTTTACAGAAAATTAATTAGTACAGTATTCTTACAATGCATAGAAATGGGTTTCAACTTACTTATCGTTACATCTGTGGATTTGCAGATTATTGACTAGACTATGCAACAACGGATCGTCAATACTTGTGCCAGGTGGAAAAGAAGTGTGTACAACATTCATGTCAATTAGCTCTTGCGCAGATTTCTCAGTCCAAAGAACCATATGGATGTGGGGGCTACCACGATCTTGAATTTCCATAACCCAACTAAAATCCTTGATACCACCAATTTGTTGAGCAAAGTGACCTTGGATGTATGTCTTGAAAAACTTGAGCCATCTTCGTTTGAAGTGCTGGGAAAATAAAACGGGATCTTCCCAAGGAAATTTAATGTCTTCATCTTGGATATTCTTGAAATCAGCACTTTTGTCGTCGCAAGTGAATGTCAGAAAAAGCTGGGGGGCACCAAGACTTTCGAAAATACACTGGAGATCCAAAAAGTTTTTTCTCTTGTAAGCATAAGATGAACGGATCTGCGGGGGTACAGTTGAGACAATGTTCTTGTTGAGTTTTCCTGTATTTTGATTGACAACATCCTTCTGTGTTATATTTTCTCTGCCTTTAGTTGAAACCACAAATCTATTAGCAGCAGCAATATTTTTTTTTTCTATTAAATCGAGCATAAAAAATAAAAAGGAAGGATCTCTGGCAAAACGTCTATCTTTCATAAGAAGCCTCTGCTTGGCGTAGGCAGCGATACTTGTTTCTCTCCACGTAGCTTCTGACACACCACCTTGATTCTCAGGCATACCATAAGCACCTAACCTGTCGTCGAACTCATTCGTATTCGTGGGTACCATTGAGTAATGACCAGTGCAATTTGGATACAAGTGAGGGAAAAGCAAGGCCAACAGACTGGGGTGGGAATATCGAATCATCTTTCCAACATCATCTTCACCTACAATCAGTTCTTTGAATTCGACATCAGTAGCTTGAGGGTTTACGTCGTCAATGGAAAAAAGAGCATTATTCACCCAACGTTTGTTGATACCGACATGTCTCTTGTTTTCGGAAACGTGGTAATTCACCAAGGCATAAGTCAACTTTGGTAAGTCATAACGAGCTAACAAGGGATGGACACGTTGAAGGGCTTCATATGCTTTCTTTACTTTTGTCTTTCTAATATTTGCAGGATCACCACGTTGAAAGAACAACCCCAAAGTTCCACCATAGGCCATTTCCGCAAATTCGTAGTTATGAGTAGCATACATGGTTCCCTTTACTTCATAATGGCCAATTCTTCCATGACGCAAGGTTGATTTTCTTGTGATTTGAGACATGAGCTTGATGGGAGACAAGGCAGACTTTTCTCTATAGTTCAAATCCTTAGTTTCAGGAATCAAGTCACCTATGGTATAGCTATTAGTCGATATATAAAATTATGATCAAAGATTTAAATCTTACCAGGATAATTCAATGGAATATAGTTATTCTCGTCGGTCTTGAAGTGTTGCAAGCAGACCATCTTCTTTGTTTCATCGTCAGGGTCTGACAAAGGTTCCAATTTCCAGGCTAAACAAGGGAAGGTAAACAAGTCTGAAAACTTGCGAAACTTTTGATCTTCAGGATAAAGAACTTGCATGCATACGCAACAGTAACCATCGGGTTTAAGCATGGTAAACTTTTGGAAGGCTTTAATTTGCTTTTGTTCATTAGCAGTGAAAGTAGATAAATTGGGGTCTTGAACTCTCCAGGAAAAAAACATGATAATCGATAATAATAATGATAATAACGGTAAATGGATTGTCAAAAGTTTATAAAGGCTGTATTTATACTTTTTGTGGAGAACGCTGTCTAAATGATTGTTTCAGTCCATGTTTATTTTCATCTATAATTTGATCTCAACTCTAAAAATAAAAAAGGGGAAATGGCGGTACAAAAAAAAAAAAAAAAAAATTCAAGCACCGTAGTTAAATTAAAAAACAGAAAATTAAAGAGCAAACGAATATTTATGTAGAAAAGAAAAACAAAAGAGGGGGTGATAGGACTAATTCTCATCTTCAGAAGTTTCGCCACGAGAAGGGTCGGGCAAGGCAAAGAAACTGGGGGGGAACGGGGTGCTGTCATCCAGCAGATTTCGGAGAGTCAGGGAAGGATGCTCCCATCCCTCCAAACGGAGAACACCCTCATTGTATGAATACAATGACCGCACAATTCTGGGAACTGGGCGGTTGGTGGTGGGGTCGGTAGATGGACGAGTGACGGACTCGACAATGCTCACCGGGTTGCAATCATCAGCAACCAAACCTGCAGATGCTATAAAAAAAGTTAGTTTTCAATAACCTTTAGTTGTACAAAAAAGAATTACCAAGACTATTGTAGAGATCATGCATTTGAAGAGCATATGCCTCCACATTCAACCCCTTACTCATAACCATATCCTCGTTTGTGATGTTCTCCCAAACGTACTTGTAAATAATATATTTCAGTTTTTGAAAGCGGTGATTTTTATCCAAATCACGGACACGAACCCTGGTAGCGGTGGTGCCAATGATGTTGCCATCATCATCAATAGCAGGCAATGGTCGAGCTGCATCGACACTGAGCCTTACACTACAAAAGGCCCGAGTGTTATCATCAAACGTATATGCGGATACGTTCAATGGTCCTAGTTACAATTTGTTAGATTCATTTTCAAAAGCTTCATCATTTTTATAATAAGTACCAGTAAAATGATGGCGGCTGCCCACATCACAGTACCGAACAAAGTAGTACATAATGGCAGGGTTAGAAATGAAAAGTTTTACTCTCATTCCAGAGTCAATCGCCCGGCACTCCATCATAACATTGCGTGCTGTAACACGGAAAACAACAGGGGAGGTAATTGTGCAGTCAGTTAGTTCACCCAAGAGCATATTGGTTATTTGTAAAATCAAATTTTTATAAAGTTCGTCTTTTTTAAAAATAGATTCTTATATATAGTTTTTTTTTTAATCTTGGTGGTCTGTTCACCTTGTTAAATTAACGGGGATCGGTGGTGTAACTCAAGGATTAGGTATATCAAGCTAAGAATTGGGAAACCCTCGGGATCGCAGCACATACCAGACAATCCAACCAATAGCACACTATTGTACAACAATGGAATAGCTGTCAGATACCCTAAAAACAAACTTCCCAGCTGAGCTTTATTTCCCTAAAAAAAAAAAAAAAAAAAAAAAAAAAAACTCCCATTTCTGCTTTCGAAAAATATTTATACCATGTAACTAGACAATATAATGTCACAAACTTATTCAAGATAACTTCTCACACTTCACCTATAAATTATTCTAACATAATCAAAAGGCAAAAGAAAAACCAGTAGTGTCTCTGTTAAGACGACATCAGGATGACTTGATGGATTTTTTTTTTGAAACAATAGATGATCTAATCGGCAATAGCAAATCCACATTCCGGCCGTGTAACCTGGATATGCTACCGTTTTTTTTTTTTTTTTTTTTTTTTATCGTCGTTAGTTTAATTATATATTTGTGATAAAGCCAGATATTACCAACTTATCAGGAAATGGTATTACACAAAGTAAATCCCAAAAATATCTATTGTAACCTGTAAATAGCAGCTATTTAAATAAATAATCATCCAAAAAAATTAAAAGTATATTTGTATAACTAGAAATCGGTAATTTTTGTAAAAACAATTTAAAACCCGAGCGGTATCAAAAAACGGGAGGGCTGAACTCAATGGCAACGGAACGAACAGAAACCGTTCCTATCCATGGGACAAAAAAAACTTTTTTTTTTCACAGAACGGGAAAAAAAACCAAGTCTCCTATGCTTGCAAAAGATGAAAAAAGAGAGTGCTCATTCATGGGGTTAAAAAAAAACGCACGGTGCACAACTTAAAAACAAAGCCCGCACGAGGCATAAAAGTTTAAATTATGATACTCTATTTGTGATACAGGGGTTCAGCATTAATATAAAACAATACATATTTTCTCTCCGTATATTTAACAGTTATAAGTAATTACAAGTAAAATGCAATCAATTGTATCGACATTTGTTGGAATCCTTTTTCCACATACATTGCAAGTAGATGCACAAACAAATAAAGTTTATTTTTTGTTGTACGAGGCATATTTTGGGTAATTAAACAATATTCAAAATTGTCATTTGAAACTGAAATTAACCGTTTCTATTTATTTATCTCCGAACTGTAAAGGCGCTACAGTGTCAAAGTGATAGGATCAAGAAGTATGATAGAAGAATCTTTTAAAGCATACAATTCTTTATGGGATATCACCTTTTTAAAAGGAAAAAAGGACCCCATTCTCCTGGTTGCTACAGGCATGATGGATCAGGTACCAAGTGTTTCTGGGTTTTTGGGTAGGGCTGTGGAGGAAAAATTTTATTTGGAAACGATTGCATTAAGAATATTGCCATGTATCCCGTTGGTATCAGAGACTCTAAAAGACATGGTCCATCCGGACATTGGACCCGTACAACTAAGTGAGGGTGTCAGAGAGGGTTATTTCTATGTGAACTTATCTCTTAGTCAAAATTTTGAAAACGGACCCGAGTTCTTTGCGTCTCATGAGGCAGACGAAGAACTGGGTAAATATTTTTTATTTATATTAAAGATCTTATCTCTTTTTTTTTCGGATAAGCATTTAACTCAAAATTTAATTAGATGACTTCGAATTAGAAATTCTTGACCGAGATTTTAGAAGATCTGGTGATGTACACGATGATGAGGATGAAATCCAAGAAACCATGTCAAATGGAAATACAAGAAGCCATGCGAATACCCAGCATTATAATGGTGACGATGACGATGATGACGAGGGATTCCCATCAAATTACAACTATGATAACGCTCGTAGATTTTCAGACAGTACCGCTGGATCTATCCCACTATCAACAGCAGAAACAACCAGTAACAATACAGAACATACGCCATCAAGAAACAGACAGCCGGTTAAAAAGTCTTTAACTGAAGATGAGATTTTCATTGAAGAAACAATGGCAGAAATTTATAGCGAGAAGGGTCTTTTGGCAGATCATTTACAAAGAAACGCTAAGGAATATGTCTGCATTGATTCGGATTCTGACGAAGGCTCTCATCATGGTAAGAATACTAATGATTATGTTTTAATTTTATTGTAAATAAAATAAAAATAACCGTACCCTCATAATGTTTCAATAAATGTAGATCGCAGAAATAGCTTCAGTCAAAGAGCAAACCCACCACGAGTTACAGCAAGACCCCCCACAGCTGGGTCCGCTGAAGGCCGATCAAGAAGTGCAAGCAATAGAGGATCTGAGTTTGTAGAAGCTGAGTCTTCCACATCATTCGATTGTAAGATTAAAAATTGTTACATTTAAAATCTATTGCTCTCGAACTTACATTGTTTAAATATTTCTATAAATCTAGGGGTCCAGGATGAAATATTGGAGTCGTCTCCTACACAAACATTTTGCGATCTTACATCAGATTGCAACGTGGACGTTACCAGCGGAAATAAAAAGGGAAAGCAAAAAATGGTCCAAAGAGCAAGGGATTTGCCGATTGTCGAGAGCAATGTGCTAAGGTATGTTGTGGTATTTTTATATGAACAACAGCAAACTAGTAACAGTCAATTTTCTTTTATTTAGAGAGCATTCTATTATGTCTGAGATCTCCATGGTATCTGATAATCACAATACTAGTAGTCAATGCAGTATCTATTCAGATGTACAGAATATTGGTAAGAGATTAACTAAATAGAAAGATAAATAAAAACAATTATATTTATTTTTAACTGACAAACACCACCGGATATGTTTTAATACAGATGATATATGTTCCAGTTCTAGTCATAATAGTAATAATTCAGGAAAACGAATGAGTCCATCGGTCGAAGCAGACCAAGAATCTGGCAGGGTAATGTACTTGACAATATGTACTGCTGACTGTGTATTGATAAAAAAACATTTTTTTACAATAGGATAAACGAGTTAAACCAACTGGAACTACTATAGAGAATGAGTCCAGTGTTAGAAAAGTAATAGAAATAAGAGGAAGAGGAAGACCTCGAAAAGCTATTCCGGCTAATCAGGCTGACATGTCAACAACGCCTAAAAGAGGGAGAGGGCGGCCATCAACCCAAGCTCAAAATGGAAACAAAACAACATTACATGCCTTTTTTTCTACTGCTCCAAAAAAATAAGCTGTTAACTGTCTGATGTAAACCTTTTTAATACGCACCCTCATTTTATTTGGAATTTTTATGATTGACAACAAACAAATAATAAAAAATCGCTTATCGTAATAAATTTCGTAATCATCATTACGATCAGTATCGAAGTAAACCTCAATCTTGAGACAAAATGAGACTACATAGTTTTGGACTGTATCATATATATTCTTTGCTGCCATTATTTAATGTAGATTACATTGCTGATTGCAAACCGCAATTGGGTTTCTGTTTATTTGCTTTCTTTCTTTAGAGTTAGAAAAATTGGCATAGTGTCTTAAAATCAATTTTTGTCATTGTGTTTGGAAAAAAACCACATTATAATTTATGAAATATTATAAGATGAATTGACACTGTTGATGTAAATAGATAAAATACTAAATGAAAGGACATAAGAGAATATATGAGAATTGTTTTGAACATAAGCGATTTTTTTTATTCGCATCCCAAAAAAAATTGCGGAGAATAGAATAGTATGCAACACATCTGTCTGATCCACAATCGAGAGTCTAGAAAAAAGTGAAGAAGATCCCATTTATAACAACATTTTTTTTTTTTTTATGCAGACGAATATTTAATGATCAGAAAGCATCATACAGAATGAGCGTTGTATTTTATTTTTATTTTTTATGTCTCTTTTTACTTTTTTGGCTTGAATATATTGATTACAAATATTTTAATGATATTGTACATAAAAAAAGTAATTGTTTAGATGTATCATTTTAAAATCTAGTGTAATAGACGCCATCATCACAGTACCGATTGTACACAGAAAACACAACATATTGTCATTCGGCAACCCAATACTCAAGTTTGTGTGGTACGTGCAACAAAAACACAATTTTTTGAATGCATTTAGTTTTTCAATTACTTTAAGAAAACCGGAAATAGCACTCATATCAGCTAAAAGAAAAAAATCCAACCAAGGATATCCAGTGATATTCATTATATATTTCAAATTTATAATGTGCCAGTTGTAAAAAGGAACATACATAAAAAAAGGTTGCAGTTTGTATTGAAAGTTATATAAAATTGTTCCTTGTGAAAAATATTAACATTCAACCTGACAATAACTGATGTTACAATACTCTTTGAGCTGTGCTCAAAAAAGAACTACGTCAACAAAATTAGTTTGACATTGTATACTTTATTTCTGAGACATACGTCAACAAAATTAGTTTGACATTGTATATTTTATTTATGAGACATATCTTATTGAAGTTGGCTACGTTTTCTTTCAAAAAAAAAAAGAAAAAAAAAAGGTGCTTGATTTAGCACAAAAAGGTATGGCAAATTTAGACGTTTAATTATCTCAAGAGGCCAAAAATTTTATGGCACAAGATCTCGATAAAATATAAAGTTGGAATCAATTATCTGTAAATTAAATAAATTTCAGTACTCTCTAGTAACATACTATGTTAAATATCTGCCAGTACTTAGCCCAAGTAGTATTTAAGCCACTACAAATTGTTACTGATGAAAAGATCAACCAATCAAAAATTTTATTTGAATTTATCCAAATCGGGAACCACGTCTAGAGTAATCATAATAAAATATAAAAAAAATAAAATAAAATACTTACACCGTCCCAATCAAGTTTATATTTTGATAGACAATAGTTCTATTTATGATAAATTATTGAAAAAAAAAACAAAAATTATCATGATGTCAAATCTGATTTAATTGCAATTTTCTTGCGAGTTTTTAATATTTTTTATCAATTTAAATCATTTTTTGTGTATTTATCGTGGATTTTGCCTAAAGATGGTAACTAAAGGTTACACGATTTGTCCAAAAAAGGAGTTTTTTTTTGCAGTGTTCCGGATATAACTAACAATATGTAAAATAAAAAAAATAAAAAAAATAAAAAATAAAAAAAATAAAAAAAATAAAAATTGAGCTGAGCTGGATGGATCGATGGATCGAACGCTCTACCATCTTTAAATGCTATCAACAAAATCATTTTTTTAAATATACATATTAAAAAAGCTCACTGCTTTTGGCACCGTCGCTACGGGAAAATATCATCACTGAATCCTTATAAATAATGTTACATCGCGCCCTTTTTTTCTCTCCCTTTGCCAGCTTGTACCACAGTAGTAGTAGATAATCCCCCATTTACTCTTTATAATCACCTGGGACTTTATATTAAAAAAAAATCTCTACTATTGAACAATGTGATGTTGACCCGAAATTGACAGCCTTTGATAGTAATGTGTTCATGGGAGATTATTTGCTCTTTTTTTTTTTTTTCTTGCAAGTTGGACCACAGCAGTAGTAGATAATCCCCCCATTTACTCTTTATAATCACCTGGGATTTTGTATTAAAAAAAATTCTCTACTATTGAACAATGTGAAATTGACAGCTTGTTGCGTATGGTCCCTAATCGATCTCTTTTTCTCTTTCAAAAATCTCAAGTTTAGTTAAAACCATCTTTTCATCATTTGTAGAACTCACAATACCAATCAGTTATGGAAATCACACTCTCAAACATTTATAAAAGTTACACTCCCATTCCTTTATTATTTGCTTTAGTTTTTTTCTTCATCAAAATATCCACCCTATTCTTGGGATAATTAACTTTAGGCATAACTCTTCTCTGCTATTTTCAAGTTGTAAGCAATTTGACACTTCTATTTCCAAGAAAACGACATAGATTTCATCCGTTAACAACAAATACGTTCACAATTCTCTTTTCTCTGATGAATTCCTTACCTACCTATAGTCTTAGTCTGTCTGACTTGTCATTAGCTACGTTACTGCAGTCGGGCCTAGCTTCAATTGTTATTCCAGCTTCCAACACTCCTGTTATTCTGGCCTCTGAGTCAATTATTTCTGAGGTTTTCCCTCACCACAACGTCCGTATGTCTAAGATCTTGGTACGCGATTTGCTTCATCGTGGGTCCCAATACACATATTCTTCAACAACAATCTGATCGTGAAACTATATTCCCCTAAGCTACTTCGTAAATTTGGGGTCGCAATAACCAATGCGTATATGCAACCTACTGGTAACTTTCGTTGTGTCCTGGGTGCCAGTATATAGTCTACTGGGTCTATCAATTTCCGTCCTCTTCTTGAGTCCTAAATGTCCACATGTATTCAAGCATTCGATCAACCAACACAATTGCGAGCTATATTGCGTGATTCCTTGTTCCCTCCAAAGCCTGCGACCACCTTTTACGGACGTGCTAATTCGACCTGGTAGAATACTGGCTATACTCATTTCGCTTGATTCGAATGACTTACAAAAACAAAAAAATCTACTGTCGCCACTTCTTTATCATTCGTTTTCATTGTTGCTTGTATTTTACTTGGAATCTGGAGATCTCGATTGAGACAAGTTTTTGACGATCAACCTTTCACATTCACAACGGTGCTTCCATTCTGCAATCCAATCGTATGACAACTATACTTTCAAACGCTGGCCGTTTAAAAACAGTGTGCTTTCTTTCATAAAAAATACTTCTTTTGACTTGTTGTCCCAATTGTGCTCTTGGTCACTCGTAAAACAAAAACAAAAAACACAAAAAAGCAAATAATCACCCCTCAGTAACAATAAATAAATTTTGAAAGACAGCGCTGTCTTTTGGGACAGCCAAAGTGCACGTAGTGGTAACATAAGATCTGTAATTTCGATGTTCTCTAGACCTGGGAACAAGGATATACAATCAAAAAACAATGTAAAAATTACGCATAAATGTTTATTAAACGATTTATACTTATTTTGACATCTGTCATCACTCATTCGCCTTTGAGCTCGTTTGATCTTAAGCTCATGCCGAAATGCTAAACCAGAAGCTGAAGGTAAGCTGTAAAACACATATACTGGTTTAAACTATGTTATTTGTACTAAATGTGTATATATTTTAAGCTGTTAATTTATATTGACCTCTTGATGTCTGTTAAGGATATCATGGATATAATAACAAAGTTATTTTTTTTTATTTTTTTTTATTTTTTTACCTTTTACGTCTTTTTTTTACCTTTTATGCTTATCTCACTGTAAATTTCTCGTATTTTGGATGGATTTTTGCCAGTATATTGATCATGCCCACCTATGCTGCTGTGTATCTTTGCGTAGGTACGATTTTTGACACCATGTATTAGCTAAAGCTTGCTGATAATCACACAATATAAGCTGGGCAGTTGAAAATTAATAATCCTTAATAGTTTCTCTCATATAAGTGCTTCAAGTGGCATTTCTAGAACAAACATAATCCATAGTGGCGAGCTACTTCTGGGTTTATTTACCATAAAAGGTAATATAATCACGTGTCCACATTTACTCTTGTAACTGTTTTTTCCGTCAACCACTGTCAGTCTTTTATTCGTAGGTATAGAGCTACTATTTAAACGCGTACTATATATAGCAGGAAGATACTACTATGAGTACAGTCGTATTTTAAGTAAGACGAAAGATGATTTTATTTATTTATGCGCATTTGGTATTTATACTGTACTATTTAATAGGGCCGAGCCGGACCAAGGACGAGATTCAATAGCCGCTGTCTTTTATAACGCGCTGGCGTTACTGGCTTAAATCTAGGACGCGTCTGTAGCTTACGCGGTATATTTGCTATGACCTGTGGATCTTCAGGACCGACAATACCCCCTTCCGAGACCATTGAGTGTCCCCACTCATTACTAGTTGTGTCCTTGTAGTTTGTAGTTGGCTTGGCTAAAAACTTCTTTGGAGTGCCCATACTTGCTGAATTACCATGGAATTTTGCTGGCAATAGCGGTTTTGACCTGTAGGTGAAACTTGATTCCTTTGGCAATTTGAATTTTTCTTTCGGTTGACTTGGGTAGTTTGTGGGTACACAAATAGGTACTGCTACTGGAGTGGCCTTGGTTGGCATTATTTTTGTAGGTGTGACACGTTTCTTGGCCTGTTTTTGTTTTAAAAAATCGACACTACTTTGCATTTTAATTGCGTGTGGACTACCAGGTGTAACTAGTTTTTCCTTTGATGAGCTGGCTACTTGTGCTACGGGCTTTTCCTCAACTTGTGCTGCTACTGGTGCTGCTTGAGTGTGTGATATGCTGTCCTCAGTAGTTTCTCTCCTAGCTGGCTTACTCTTGGGTGATGAATGGGTCGATTCTAGACCTTGCGAGCTGGCTTCAGAAATGTGTTCATCGATGATATTGTCACCAGAAGATATACTTTCGTATCCATCTAGGATATGCTGAAAATCATTACTACCAGTAGCTCCCTTCTCTTCATCCGGTCTATACGATGATGATAGTGGATCGTATTGCTTGATGGTATCTTGCTTTACCTCGGTATTTGAATCAACTACCTCGTCCATGTTACTTGCCTCCATAGCCTCGAACCATTTTTCTTCTTCATCTTGGGTTTTTGTGTGACCCGCCCGTCTCGAAGCATCTGCTTGTTGATTCACCACTTCAGGTTTGTCATCTGATGAATCTACCACAGGTGATTGATGGGGATGAGCTGCTGACATATTTTGGTTGCTTGGTGGTGTTGGTATTACCATTGGGTCAACATGATCTTGTTTGTTACGATTTGGCACGACAACATGGTGTCCCCCTCCTCCTCGACCACTACGTGTGGATGTAATTTCTTTGACTACCGCGCGACTAGTGGTAGGGTTGTACCAATCCTCAGTAGGTTTAGGACCCTTAGCTGGCTTAAGACGATCTTTGTGAATCAATGACTTGAGAGGTTCACCTTGAATAGTTTCCAATCTGCACGTACCATACCCATCTAAGACTTGAGTGACTATATATGGACCTTTGTAATTGGGCTCCAAACCAAATTTTCCCTCGTGAGAAACCAGCACCATATCCCCTATTTCATAGTCAATAGGTTGTACAAGAGCATCCCATCTTTGCTTATCCTTCTCGCCCATTGCCTTTAACCTGAATTCTGCTGCTGCTCGATGCTGTTCTAACGATTCTAGCTCCCTTGCGGTTAAATCTGCGATAGTGCGTGGATCATTGATTGACTCGTTGCAAATATATGGCTGATTTGGATCACTTGGGAGATTAGGTTCTCGTCCGTAAGTCAAGAAGTATGGCGAAAAACCGGTGGTCGAATGCACACGTACACGGGTAGCCCAAAGAGCAGTGTCCACATAATCATCCCAGCGATGAATGCTACCTTTGACGTATTTTCGAAGCATACCCTTGATGATTGCGTTATATCTCTCTACCTTCGAGTTTGTTCGTGGGTGAAAAGCGGAGGTAAGCTTGTGATTAACGCCCACTCGTTTCAAATATGCCTCCACTAAGCCACTGCAAAAATTCTGGCCCCGATCCGTGATAATCTCCTTTGGACAGCCAAATTTCATGACAATTTCTTTGTAGATAAAGTCGGCTACTGCTTCTTTCGATGCGACTGGTACCGCTTGAGCTACCGGCCAGTTTGTTGTGTAATCCACTGCTGTAATCAACCATTTATTTCCGTTGACAGTCAAAGGTAGCTCACCTACAAAATCGATGTGCCATCTTTCAAAAGCGTGTGGTACCGGAAGAGGGTGCATTGGCTCCTGATGCTTTACAATTTTCTTGCTATTAACTTGGCATGAAGGACAAGGTGCAATCCATTCCTCGACATCTCGACGCATTGTTGGCCACCAGTATCTGCCCGTGAATAGGTTCATCATAGACTTGAATGAAGCATGCCCATAATCGTCGTGATATTTCTGAACTAAATCAGCTCGTTCGGAAAAAGGTATAAACTTGGCTTCTTTTATACAAAGTTTCTTATCTGCATCTTGGACTTTGATCTTTCGGAACACCAGATTATGCTTGACTACGAACTTATCACGCTCTTTCAGTAATAGATCCTTGAGTTCAGCATCTGATGCCTTCTCCTCCCCTTTATTGATATAGAGCAAAGGCCAGTCCGCAACCATCCCCGGTGATAATCGATCCCATAATGAGTACAAATAGTCTGATTCCAAGGAACGTACTGATCCACCCTGGGTTGATACCTCAATCTCTGCTCGAGAAAGAGCATCCGCTACAATGTTGCTTGAACCGGGCTTATACTTGATGACAGGTGCATACATCTCCAATTCGCTGATCCATCGGATTAATCGTGGTGTAGGTTTTGCTTGCTGACGAAAGTAGACCAAAGGGTTATGATCCGAATATACGACATAACCTGCTTGACATCCATCTATGAAACATCTCCAAGTACGAAGCGCATGCACAATCCCAATGAGCTCACGCTCCTGGGCCGGAAATTTTTGTTCCTCCGCGGATAGCTTCTTCGATTCATACGCTACTGGATGCCATGTCGTATGTTTGCTGTCAACTGTTGCATGGATATCTTCTGTTGCCGGTTGAAGAAGCACTGCCCCAACACCAAAATCACTTGAATCCGTTTCGATAACAAAAGGGCGTGTCATATCCGGTACCTGAAGTACAGGTGCTGATGTAAGTAATTTCTTGATTTTGTCGAAACTCTTCTGGCACTCCTCTGTCCAAGCTACGGCTCTCTTTTTGTGTCCTGTTCCCTTCGTCAGGTCTGTAAGCGGTGATGCAATTGAGCTGAAATTAGGTATGAATCTTCTATAATGTTGACTAAGGCCCAAAAATTGCCGTACTTGCTGTACCGTTTGAGGAATAGACCAGTCCCTTACTGCTGCTACTTTAGCTGATGAGGGTAATATGCCTTGGCCAGAGATTTCAAACCCTAAGAAAATTAATTTTTCTTTTGCAAAGTGACACTTCGCCCGGTTGACAATGAGTCCTGCACATTCAAATCTCTTTAATACCTCTTTCACATGCTCTAAATGTTCCTCTAGAGTGTTACTGTAGATAAGCACATCATCCAAGTATACGAGAGCAAATTTGTCTACGAAGTCCCCTAATAGATCATTCATCCAATTTTGAAAACTGGGCGGTGCATTGCTGAGTCCAAAGGGTAATACCAGAAATTCATATTTTCCATAACGCGTATTGAACGCAGTCTTTGGAACATCGTCTTGTTGGATTCGAATCTGATGGTATCCACTTTTTAAATCCAGACTGGTGAAGTAGCGAGCACCTTTCAATCTGTCCAAACACTCGTCAATTCTTGGCAGAGGACTAGAATTACGCAGTGTAAGAGCATTAAGAGCCCGGTAATCTATGCACATTCTAAGAGTATTATCTGTCTTTTTTCTACAAAAGAGCACAGGAGCACCCCATGGTGATGAGCTAGGTTGAATTAGTCCAAGGTCTAACAGTTGTTTAATTGTTTCTTGAGCTCATCCAGCTCCAACGGACTCATGCGAAATGCTTGTCTGTTCACTGGTTTTGCACCCTGCGTATCAATAACGTGTTGAAAACCACGGTCTGGTGGAAGTCCTGTCAGCTCATCTTTGAATACTGAAGGGAATGACTGGATAATGATAGAAGAAAAATCGTCTGCTCCTCCGCTCGTCTCGGGTTTATCAACTACATACAAAAGACACGTATCTACATCTTTTGATTTACGAAGATGGTGTACCTGCTTTGAAGATATCAAGTATTTACCAACTGCGTCATATATGCTGTTTAGTTCAACGTTGCTATTTGGTTCACCCTTGATGCTTTTATTTGGCACTATCCTATGGCCTTGAGTTTTGCTGTTACAAATAATAGAGCCATCCTCGCATGTGATATGCGCTTTATTATTCTTCAGCCAGGAGTTTCCGAGTATAACATCAAATTTTGTGGCGTACACAAAAGCAGGGACATGTGTCTTATAGCCCTGTAAATCTAGTTCAAACCACATTTGTTCATCAATGTTATCAATAGTACCACCAGCAGTTTCGACTTGACGATCCACCTGACATCGTTTGCCTTCCACCAGTTCTGCCAAACCCGGAGATATGTAGCATTCTGTGGCTCCTGTATCAATAAGTACTCGTATAGGGACGTACTTATGATTCATATAGAGTTGTACTGAAGCATCATATAGTGGGAGGTCCGTTTTTGTACGCAGAGCCGTCAACTCCGAAATGTACATCAGGTCGGACGACATGGTATCGTCCAGAACATGGATAGAAGCACAGTGATCTGTATCATGACATATGGATTTTAGCTCAAAAGGTCGTTCCCCCGTATGTATATTATTATAGGTATAACACACGTAAGGGTTCTCAAGGTTTACATCCTGACTACCATCATTCTCAATTTCACACATAGGATCAAAATAGGCGTAACGAGAATAGTTATGAGCTTTATTGTCTTCCTTTTCCATATTATCTGATATGTCCAAATCGATGAGGTTCAATGGTAAAGCAGAAGGGTGTTCA